CATCGGGGCCCTCGGGGCAGTCACCTCCAAACTGGAGCAGTGGCTAAAACAGATCCCAGGAACAACATCAGACATCTCAGTCCAGAAATGTGCAGTTCTAGGCACAGCTAAGATACTGTGCAGAACCCTCAAGCTCCCAGGCCTCTGGTAGAGGACCCGAGCTCAGAGGATGAAAGAGACCACCCGCGGAGGGTGAGAAGGGAATTTATATATATATAAGTTTCATTATTTTTTGAGAGCTCTGCATTAATATGTTCAGCTGCAAATGGGGCTTAATTTATGAATATTAAGATGTTTCACTTTAGTTCAAAGATTTTTTACATGCTACTAGGGTTGGGCGATAAATCGATTTAACCGATTAATTCGAATTTTCAATTTATAATGATTTAACTTTTTGGAAAATCGAGATTTTTTTTTCCCACCAGTGCACTATTGGGCTTCTATATTTCAGAAGTCATCCCATTTGTCCCTCAAGACGTTTGGTACATAACATGACAATATGCCAGCTATAGTAAAGAGGATCAACTTCCCAAAAAAAGGCAGTGTTTCTTCAGTTTTCTGGAACTGGTTAGGTTTTGCCGCCTCGGACTTGGAGCAACAAACACCTCACTGCTAAATCTGTTTAAAGACTCTTGCTACAAAAAGCAGAAGTACAACAAATTTGTTTTGACACCTCAAACAGAGGCACTCCATTAAGTGGAAAGCAAAATCGATTGAAATCGAAAATCAAATTTGGGATGAAAAAAATTGGAGATTTTTTTTTTTTTTTTTGGTGGGGTGCATATCGCCCAGCCGTACATGCTACAAACTAAATGACAGAGCATGTGTTGTTATATTTGTACGTGTGTAGAGGGAGGCAGTTTCTACTGTTCCATTGATCATCAAATTCTGTGGAGTTCCTGTAAAGTCTGTTAGTTCACACATTAACAACAAATGAATATGAATCAATGACTGAAATCACTGCACTAACATAAATCCATAAACAAGATAAAATGGTTACAATTACCTATAATTTTCTGCTAGTTTAGAAATTGCAATTTATTTTGTTTTTAGTTTTTTTTTTTCAGTTGTCTCATAGGAATGCAATGAAACTATTCATTTCACAGACTCTGAACTATACCAGCAGTCTTTATCAAAAGGACATTTTTTGTCATTTCTGTTAGTTAAACATGAATAATAGTGTTTATAAATAAAAGTATTGAGAGTGTATGGTGGGGGAGGAGTCAGCTCCAATCACACAAGCACCTACTCACTGGAGAAGTCAAAAAGCTTGCCATGAAATCACAGCTGAAAACAAATCCAGAACKCTCGCTCAGATTAGGACTACATCACTACACTGTCACGCTTTAATACAAAGCTACAGCTTGTTGTGGTATATTCTGAGTGTAATTGAATTGTATCCCAAGCTTCTGTCTTATAAGCAACCCAAAGCTGCCAGGAGAGCACTTAAGAAGCCCCGCTCACATCCCAGAGTCAGGAGGCTTTAGCTGAAGCGCATGCAATCACAATAATATGGGTAGATTTTTAATATTGCCCTGCCACTACTCCCTAAAGCAATCACTGCGAATTCTCTGTGTATGGGTGGGGGAGACTAAATTGGATTATGGGCCACAAGCACTTTAATTTTCTTGTGGGGACTAAAAGGAATGAAGGAGCATCGGCAACACTTCGCCACCTCATGGGGAAAGACTGGGTACACACACACACAAAAACTGCTTTTTTAAGAATAAACCGATGGCGAGATCATAGAAAAAGTACACCTTTCCTCTCATTTCACCAGTTTTGGTTAACACTTCAGGCAGCGAGACCACAATCAATCCATCGTGATATGATCTCAGGTAATYATCCTATTAGTGCTAAATTAACTTGTTCACTAATACGGATTGCGTTGTGTTTGTGGTGTCCTTGAACATGAAAACAGCAATAAATCTTGCCTGCTGAACTCAGATAATCACATATTACAGATTTCGTGGCTGGCTGTGACACAGTTATTATGCCACTTTGGACAAGGTCACAGAAATGCAAACGAGGACCACCACGGCGAGAACCAAGTCCAAACAAGCCTCTGTGACGTTAATGAGCAATTACACAAACCAAAGATGCAAAACACAGACAAACATGAGGCCAATTTCCAAGATGAATCCCGTTTGTTATCATCACTAATGTTTGCCTCAGATAGCTTTCATTTTCCCTCCTCCCTGTGGAACACAGTTACAATAAACTATTAATCCAAATGAACTCCGATAATAAAAACAAGCGTCTAAAGGGACATTTGCTGAGAATGTACTATACATGATGATCTGGCTTCCCCATGTTCTCGCTCAAGGACTTTTTATAACAATCCAATTCAAACAAGGACCCGTGATCTTGCTGAAACCTATAATACTGAAAATCTATCAAGCATTTAATATGGTAGCATTTTTTCTTTTGTGCGAGTTTAAGGTGTGTGTGCAAGCTCGTGAAACGAGCTCAATCTGGCGACCAGCGTGCCTCTGCGACTTTCATGAGCTGATCTAGCACTTCTAGGAGGGACCCACCGCATTATGAACACCTCCTCCAAAATGACCTTTCTTTTGTTAATGAGCTTATAATTGCTTTTGCGACATAATCAAAATAAAACGGAGCAATTTACCCATAATGTTCTGCACTGCCAAGTGTGACTTTAACCTGCAAATATGTTTAGGGAAACTGATTGTTTTTCCGCCCGCTGTTTTCTTTGTAAAGAAAACACTGCTAAAGTGGAATAAGTTAAGGTTACATTTTTAACTGTTCAGCTATAAACTTTATAGTTTCTAAGATAGTCTGACAGTTTTTCAACATATCAAAAAAAAAATAGACTAGAAAATAATTACT